TGTACCTATGTAACAAACCTGAACGTTCTGCACATGTACCCCAGAACTTAAAGTATAATTAAAAATTAAAAACATTAGGAAAGAAACAAAAAAATGCTTCTAGTTTTTTAAATAAAATGTTCCTGATTTTTTCCTGATGTTTCTTCATGATTAGATTTAGTTTGTGTGTGTTCTGTTGGACAACTACTTAGGTGAGGTCATGTCCTTCTTAGGATATTGCACCAGAGGCACCCAATGTCTGTCTACATCTCCTTGATAATATTAATGATGATCACCTTTTCAATGTATTATCTGATTTCTCCACTGTATAGGAAAGAGGTCTGAGTTTGAAAGCCAGGATTTGTCAAACTACAAAGCACTGCTGGCTACCTCCTGTTGACTCATTCATCTGCCCTTACTGGGAACTTTAGTGGAGGCATTATGTGCTAGGGCTCTAAGTGAAGAGAGTTTTCTTTCTCATGAGACCAAGGCCTGGGTAGGGAGGTTACAGTCAAAGGATTTCTATAGCTTCTGAATTGTTTTCAAATCCTAACGATTGGCTTCTCACTATTCAGTTAAATAACTCTTAAGGGAAAACAATTCTATCAATTTTTTAAACCTCTCCCCTTTCTAACTCACAGTGCTTTTAGAGTCTCTGAACTTCTCCTCCTTAAAAGAAGTGTCTGCTTTGTTTGTTCAGACCTGGGGTGATTTGTTTCCATGCAGCAGGCAAATTGTTTTGTTCTAAGAATAAGTTTAAGGAGAAGCGAGCACAGGGTGGGCGGCAATCAGAGGGGTTTATGCAATGGTTGACTCCTCTTTCACATCATGGAGATCCCAGGGGCCTTAACAACTTGGTTCTAGTCCATGCTGACAGTGCTGGAGGTCACGTCTCCAATATCTTTTACTTAATCTTTTCCTGGGGATTCTTCCTGTCCCAGGAGGTAGTTGGAAAAACAGCAAACTTTAGTCAGGCTTTGCAGGTGGGTCTCTTGGCTCATGTGAAATCTGGATGTAATAGATTTAGGTAAACAACTGATCTTAAAACCAGTCCAATTGATGTTGAGTCAAAATTTATCCCAGGCCTCAAAGACCTTTAGAGGGAGTAAAGCCAAACTCCTTACCTGTAATTACATCCTGTTGATTTGTCTGAAGTTACTCCCCTTTGTCACTTCAGGTCTACACAAAGCTCCCGAGAGACAATGATGGGCATTGTTGGTTTGCACAGTGCTAATGGAAACGTGGGTGCAGAAAGGCAAACTTGTGGCCGGTGCATTTTATTGCAGGATACAAATCACACAGCCGAATCTGGCAACTATTATGAGGCTGAAATAAGCACATATAGTCACAGAACAAAGCAACCAAACTATGTGTTTAACATAATAATAATTACAAAAGCTCTGCAGGCATCGTGTTGAGCTATCTGCTGCCATGAGTCCCAAGGGCTTCCTTCAACCACGGAGAAACTGAAAAATGAACAGTGACAGGAAGCTTGGGTGGAGCGAGAGCTCAGCCATTAGTTTTCTTTTGTGTGTGAGCAATTGCTTTAAAGTTCAAGTGCAATATTCAGCGTATCATTTGTTGCCACAAATGATCCCTTGGATAGTTTACTATGAGCGCCAGCTTCTCTGGGGTACCTTCTGGGTTTTACAAGTGGTTCTATCAAACAATGATTATTCTTCAAAATATTATCCAGAGCGGCTCGTTTCATGACAGACATGTGGTTTGAGTTTTGTTGTAAATGCAGAACAAAGGGTCTGGGAGTGTTTCTTTTCATTATCTGAGCTGCGTGGCTCTAAGGAAACATCGGATAGTTCATTATTTAAATGAGAATATTTTCTTGCCTTTCATTTCATTTTCGGTTTTATTTCTGTATATCCATGACATTTTAGCAAGCAAGCTGCCTCCTCTAGAAGAGCCATCTGCTTTGCTTTTCAACTGTGAAACCATCTGAGAGAATGAATACCTTCTTTCTCACAGAAATACATGTGGGGTGAGGGGAATGGTGTTGTTAATTATATATATGATTATGCATGAATATATACATAGATAGGTATATATTTATGTGTATTTGTGTGTGTGTGTGTGTGTGTGGTGTGTGGTGTCTGTTTTTACTTTTTTTTCTCTTTTTTAAAAATACTAGAGCATAGATGTACAATCAAGGAACTTGGTCTCAATAAAACAACGAAGCAAAAATCTCCATCCCAACTTTCTCCCATGTCTCAAACCTTTCTCAGTGCAATAGGGTATGAGTTCCATGAGCATGGGGACTTCGGTCTGTACGTTCATTGGTATACTCCTGGTATATAGAAGAGTGTCTGGTATATAGTAGTTGCTAAAATAATAGTTGTTGGATGAAGTGGTGTGAATATCAGTATTCCTCCTCAGTAAATTCTGTGTGTTAGGCATGTAACAGTCGGAAATCACTCTTCCTTACTGTGAACGTGCCTGTCATTACTCCCACTCAGGCGTAGTTATAATCTTTTGCCTGGTGCTAACGTACTCTGTGCTAGGGTGATGGTTCGGGGCAGGACACTTTCTATGACTTGTGTTACATTTTCTTACTAGATGACAAAGCAAAGATGCCTTGAGGCCATTTCCTATGAGTTGTAAGGCATTACTGCCAACTCTCTAGGATGACTTAAATTATCACCGGTAAGCACACACTTTGGATCCTGGCCTCAGGACTTTTTCTAGATGAATATATTGATAGAAGAAATGGGACCCTATTATCTATTGAGATGACTAATAGTAAACCACTACTGTAATTCACAAAATCTGAAAAATACACTCCCGTGTATAAGTTAAAACGGCACAGCATAACTAGCCATGAAACAATAGCTATCAGACTAGCCTGATGTCTTGTAACTAGAAATGGATTACTTGATTGCAGCGAAGATTTCAGAAGAGGCCTGAAGCCAGGTCAGCTGGTTTTTGTGTTTCTATAGTGGGAAAGATTCATATTCACATATTTGACCTTGTGTGGCTACTCATAGAGTAACTGAGAGCAACAGACATTTTGTTCTTGATAGAGATACATGGAATACAAAGGAAGAGACTGGAGATCATCCCTGATGTCAGTAAAGTTTGTAGCGCCTGGACATGAGAGCTAGAAACATGTGACAATCATTTTTAGGAACTGTTCTATCATAAATTTTCAATAATTATTTACTACAGAACGGAATCCAGAATTATAAGCAAGTTTTGTAAAAATCTAAGCTAATTCTACCTACTCAGAATGAAGTCTCTTTGCCTTTCCACAGCCACCCTTTGCTGGAGCTGAGATGGAGAACACTCAGCATTCATTGAACACCCACACCTTGATTTCCCTACCACATTGCTTTGATGGGCATGCCATCATCTCTAGTGGTTGAAGTTCCAGGAAACGGGTTGATGATGCATTCCTCTTTGGACATATTAAATATGAGGCATTGATGGTGCAACTAAGGGGGAATTGTGCATTGAAGAGTTGGAGAGAGAGCTCAGCGCTCAAGAAAGAGGTCTAGCTGGACACTGAGATTTAAGAAGCTTTTACCTAATGATTGTATGTGAAGGTTTGAGGTAAATGAGATCATCGAAGGTGATTATGTACAGCAAGAAGAGACAAGGACACTGATTTCATAGGCTAGGCAGAGGAATCAGTACCAATGAAGGAGACCGTGAGACAATGATCAGAATAAGGAAGGAAACTGGTGTTATGAATAATTAAGCTAATATTTACTGGATGCCATTTCTGTGGGAGAGCTCTGTTTAAACATTGTGCATGAGGTAAATCATCTAATACAACAACCTTATACAATAAGTTCTATTATCTTCATTTTTAAGATAGGACACCGAGGCACAGAAAGTTCAAGAAAGTTGACTAAGACTACCAGCTAGAAGGTGGTAGGGTTGGAATTAAATTTATCTGATTCCAGAATCTGTACCCTGGTCTCTTCTACAATACCTTGGCAAAGGAAAAAAGAAAAAGAGTTTCAACCTTGAGAAAGTGACCCGCATTTGCACAATGCCATATGGTCCAGAGAAGTCAATGAAGATAATAAATGCAAGTGTCCACTGGGTATGAGGATTAGGAGGATACTATTAATCTTAACACAAGTTGTTTCAGTGGATTTGAGGCAGTAGAAGTTTGAAGCAAATGAGCTCCTAAGTATCACCTATATTACATCTATTTTAAAAAATTTATTTATCCAGGCCCTGGTTCCAGGACACATAAATAGGTTTTCAAAAAATAGTCATTCTCTGAACGTTGCAAGAGTAAAACTGAGCATGAGATGGCAGTTCTCCACATTAGCTTCCATTCTCCATTTCACTTCAGCTCTATAGAAATAGCCTGTGATGACAATTCAAAGCTGTATAGTTTGTGAGACAATCAGGGCATGTTTAGCCATTTTTGTTTATGTATGTGGGAAGTCATGAGGAGCTGTGCCTTTAAAGATGAGGGAAATGAGGCACAGAGAGGTTAACACTGCTGTTTGTGGAGGTGAGGGGTGGGGGAGGGGTATCACTTTGTGTTACTTCCGGGAGATTTGAAAGGCTTTTTACTCTTACTGAGACTAAAAATTCAATTCAACATTTAATGCTAGACTTTTAGCCCCTTTTATAGATTCTGGTGGAAAATAGATGGCTTACAGGATGGGAAAGAAAGAACTTCAAGACCCTCTTCCGCTTGTTTCTCCTAGGCTCAGGAAACTAAGAAGTCTCTGATTTCTGCAATTATCTCTACCTTAGTCCCACACAGGGACCTGGTGGGAGGTAACTGAATTATGGGGCTGGGTCTTCCCTGTGCTGTTCTCATGATAGTGAATAGGTCTCCCGATCTGATGGTTTTAAAAATGGGATTTTCCCTATACAAGCCCTCTTCTCTTGTCTGCCACCATGTGAGACGTGCCTTTCACCTTCCACCATGATTGTGAGGCTTCCTCAGCCACGTGGAGCTGTAAGTCTATTCAGCCTCTTTCCTTTATAAATTGTCCAGTCTCAGGTATGTCTTTATCAGCAGCATGAAAATGGACTAATACAAAGATCTTCTAGACCACGTTGGCAGCTACCACTGTAACTGGCCTGAAATATCTATATCTGTTCTTCTCTTATATTCAAGCCAATTTGAATGGAAAGAGATTTCTTTATTTCAGATATCCTTACTAATTAATGTTCTACAATAGCATAAACTTCTTGTGGTACAAATTCTTTTCATTTAAAAGTCACCAAGTGGCCGGACGCAGTGTCTCACCCCTATAATCCCAGCACTTTGGGAGGCCGAGGTGGGTGGATTACCTGAGATGAAGAGTTCGAGACCATCCTGGCCAACATAAGGAGCCATCATCTCTAATGTAAGTCACTGAATACTAACAGTTTATGTTTTTTTAGTCATACAGTTCAAATGTCTTCTACTAATTTTAAACAGCATCTGGATTTTAAAAGAGCAAAATTCAAAAGAAAACAGCTTGAAAACCTCCACTGGAAAAAACCTGTCCATTAAAAAACATAAGTCTAAAGTTCAATTCTCACCTGGTTCAAAAAAACATTTGAATTCACCATATCATGTGTGGGATTTTAGAATGGAGTAGGCAGAGAAACAAAGGGAAAACAGCAACATGTGTAAGTGATCACCAACAAAAAGCCCGTTTCCAACTAAAAAAACATGGCTTGTACGCAGGTCACAGAACAAATCAGACCAAACCAAAGTGCCAAGTCACAACTTAAAGAAAAAGAATCCATGAGGGACCTTCGTAAGCAGATGGATTAGAAAGGCTAAGTTTCACTCATGAAGACTTGAACCTAGGCTGTCTGAAATAGCAGTCAATAACATTAATAATCATCATAAGGCTCTGAAAACTACAGTTGGGGATTAGGCCAAATGGAGAAGCAGAGGACTGAACAAGAGAAGGGACTTTCCACAGAATTAATGAAAACAACAATCTGGTAATGAGGGGGTTCTTTCTGCTGGAGTGAAATTCCTCTACAGGGCTTTTCCTCTGTGGCTGCATTATTCTAGCAGTAGTTAGGAGTACATTCTGAAGAGAATAAAGCCAATTTACTATTAAATTTGCATTCGAAGACGGCAATAAGCAGGTAAGAAAAAAGTGTTTTGTAATTGAATCACATAAGACTACATGGAAAGAAGTCTGGCTTAGTGAATTAAACATTTTCATTGGTTATCTTCTTATAGTAGAGTGTTTCCCATTGAACACACCTTTATGAACTATCTTTTCTGAATAATGTAGCCAAGTTGTTCAAAATCAAGAATGTTAGCTTCCCTGGAATGCTTGTCCAATTTTTTTATTGCCTTTCAATTTTATCAGCTTGCCAGCACATAAGTAACCCACAAGTAGCCCACCAATAACCCAGGACACAAATCTGTCCAAAAACTGATCTGCTCTTTCTTCTATCTAAACAATAAGAGTTCTGGTAAGGATCACATACGTATTTAGTTACTGATATGTCCTTTGTTGTATGTCTTACAGGCTTCATCATAACCTCTATTAGATCAAATTATACGTGGTATGGAAGAGGAGAAAGAGTGTGGGATGCTGCCGTAATTAGCCTTGGGTAACCAGAGAGGAAGGAACAGAAAAAAAAAAAATCAACAAAAATAAATAGGGAGCTCTTACTCCATGTGAGACACTGCGTTAGACATGGTGGGCCATAGAAACAAGTTTAGGATCGAGTTCCTGTCGTTAGGAATCTCTCAGTCTATGTGGAGCTGATGGAAATACAGCATCATCACTTGAAGCCTGAATTTTGAACAAGTACGTTAACAAAAGGCCAAAGACGTATCACTAAGAACCCTGAATTAAGAAGTGGTATCCTTTGCGGTGAGCCGAGATCGCGCCATTGCACTCCAGCCTGGTAACAAGAGTGAAACTCTGTCTCAAAAAAAAAAAAAAGAAGTGGCATCCTTCCACTACTCTCAGCTGGAAAGAAATAAAATTTACGAGGGACACATGAGAATGTACTCAGATCTGGAAGAAAAAAAAAAAGCTAATATTTGATGAGTTCATACTAAGTGCCAGGCTCTGCATGCCTTACATGTAGCAACTCATTTAATCCTCATGATAACCTATAGTGATCATAGGTAACCTATTGCCATTTCTATTTCACAGATTTGGAAACTGAAGTGATGAGTTAAATAATGTGGCCAATCATGCAACTAATAAGCAGTAGATCTGGGATTATCTCAAGGGTATATTAGTTCACCTAATGGCACACCTAAAATGACCAAATGGGTCATTAACAGTTCCAGAGTGAAAAGTCCTGGGAATTGGTATTAGAACTCATTGCAAAGCCTGTGAATTTTCTCCAAATAAATGCATATGTAATACTCAAATACATAAAAGAAAGTTCTGTGTGCTTCCTGACAATATGGAGACCAGATAATTTATACAGAGACTCTTCAATGGATGAACAGTTTGAGTTCCAAAAAATCTTTTCCTTTTTATTCTATTTTTTTTTTTTGTAGAGATAGGTACTTGCTATGTTGCCCAGGCTGATCTTGAACTCCCGGCCTCAAGCAATCCTTCCACCTCAGCCCCTAAAGTACTGGGATTACAGCTTTGAGCCACTGCACATGGCCTTCCCTTTCATTCTTATATACAAAGCACCATTATGTAAATGAGTACTTGTGCTTTTGTGCTGATGCATGGTTACTCTGTGTCTATGAAAGATGGTACACTGAAAAAATTTTAAGCATTAAATTCTTGACTTACAAGACTTCAGAATCCAGAAGCATCGTGTATACAGAGGAGATGGAAAAAGTTTGAGCTGAAGGAAGGTTCTCAATCAAAAGAAAGGGAAAGCAATGTTTACGTAAGTGAGAAGAATATTTCCATTTGCAAATGGAAATTTTGTTTAGGTGAGGAGCCACTAGTAGCACGATGAAATACGAACCCATTTAGTCAACCAGGCCACAGAACCATTTGAATTCTGTGTATCCAGCTAGGGGAGGTAGTCAGTGAAACCCATTAAACAGTGTTCAGAAGAAACCATGCAGCCCAGTGCAATGAAAATGTACTTCTCAAGACTCAACGATCTATCCAAACATCATTTTAGATGCTGTGGGAGAAGAATGCCGTTGTCCCCACTCGAGTAGACTGCATTATTACTGGGGAAAGAAAACAAAGGCATGAAAAATGAGAGCATGAGATGCTGACCACAGCCTGGGAGTTGAGGAAGAGCTTGAAAAAACAAACACCTTCCTGACCTGAGTTCTCTGAGAAAGTGGAGCTGGAGTTTGGTAACACTCAGCAATAGCTGGAAGATGGACTTTTGGGACTTTGCCTGAGTGCCTGTGGAGAAAATCAAGCCCTGGGCTGGATAGTTCCTTCTGAGCACTGTTTAATGAGTTTCACTGACTACCTCCCTAGCTAGATATATAGAACACAAGTGGTTCTGTGGCTTGGTTGATTAAATGCTTCATCAGGCAGACAGGCCCCTGGGAACTGTATGCAACATTTTATTGCCTTTCAAGACAGTTGTTTCTCATTGTATAGATGTGCCCGAGTGGATAAATAATCAAGAGTTCCAATGCCAAAGGCTAATTTGCCCTGGCTTTGGAAATGCCTCTTTTTTTTTTTTTTTTTTTTTTAGCCGTAAGCAGCATGAATTATACTGATAGTTTTGCATGTTTCTGGCTGACCACCAAGGCCCGCCTTCCAGAAGGCTAGGAAAGTTGCTGGATGAAGTTTTCTCACAGAATTTACCACTGACTATAAAGTGAAATTGCTACAATGAATAATCATCTTTCCTTGTGCAATCTTAATTGATTTGGCAACATGTATAATTACCATGATGGCAGAGGAACCCTGTGATGTTGAATGAAGGACGAGTTTCCTTGGCTATCTGTAGAAAGCCTCAAAAAACCTCGTCATCTTAAAGGCCCGACCACCACTGAACTCATTTGAGCAGAGGTACATTTTACTTTGCTTGGATTTACCAGGGCTTTCAAAATTCAGTGCTTTCATGCCTTGGAAATAGGTATTTTTGGAAACTGAATGCTTGCAGGTTAAGGGGATTTGTAATCTTTCTTTCAAGTGCTATTCCTAAGGTTCAAATACGTAAGTCTATCAATGGATTGCAAACCACCGTAATGCAACGCTTATCCAATTTGCAAGGACGCTAGTTTTTAAAAAAACAACAACCAGCTCTCTCAAGGGGAAAAAAAAAGTCTTCACAGTGAGAGCCTACACAGGGGTAAATTATAAAGATCTCCCACGAACATCAGAACTGCATAAACTGAAGTGTAATTACCTCCTAAGTAGGAAAATATAGTCTTTGTTTTTTACCTTCTCACCGTAAGACTATATTCTCCTAGAAGTTCATGAAAGGTCATTGGCAGAACCTAACGTCTACTTTATTGAAACTACCAAAGCTAAATTATACATGTTTTTAACAGCCTGCTGAATGCTATGCAAAGGCTTCTTTATAAATGCCAATCATCAGTGAAACCTCAAGTCAGTGTCAAATCTTTGCAAATAATAGTAATGAAGTTCTTCAGATGCCTATGACCAGAGACCGGTTTCATTACTTTCCCCTCTGACTTCTCATGACTGGAGGAAAGGTAGGAGAGAATGTGATGTTGCAAAAATAAGCCCTGAAACTGATTTGCCTCTTCCAAAAACTGATGAGCTAGATTATTTCTCTAAGTACAGTCTTTCACAAAAGTATATTATACATGTAAAATCTATATTAACTTATTTAGGCTCACATGGTATCATTTAGTAAGTTACAGCTGTCAGGGGCTCTTGGTATGCATTTTCTTTTATCTGAATAAACAGGAAATGGCAATATTGCTCAAGGTAGTGTGAGAGAGCTGAATACTCTTTAACAGTCAGTAAAGGTCAAAACTGGAAAATAGGAATTTGCTTATATGATCCTTTCTGTGGCTAGCTCTCTTACTAGGATGCAATTCAATACTTTCTGGGAACATTTGTGTCCCAAAGAAGCATGTGTGTATGCATCCACTTTTGTACTCTCATTTGCTTCTCATGGCTTTTGTTTGGTAGCTGAGAGTGCTCCAGGATATTAGGGTTATTATTTAACATATTCAATCCCTAGGGCTAGACCTCTAGGCAGAGCCATGTGGGGACCTTTTTGATGTGCTTCAAATTATAGTGTTTACGCAACTTCTACCTCTCTTATAATGAGTCTGATGTGATCTGAGATACTGCTGGGCTGACTGGCCTACTGGGTCTCCTTTCTAAGAAGGTAGCTTGTGTAAAGTGGGGAATCAGGTTCATCCTCTGTATAGGAAATGAAAGTATGTTTCAAAGCTTCCACTGTGGGGGGAACAAAACACACTGGAGCCTGTCAGGGTTGAGGGGCAGGAGGGGGGAGAGCATTAGGAAGAATAACTAATGGACGCTTTGCTTAATTCCTAGGTGATGGGTTGATCTGTGCAGCAAACCACCATGGCACACATTCACCTATGTAACAAACCTGCACATCCTGCACATGTACCCCTGAACTTAAAATAAAAGTTGAAGAAAAAAAAGAGAAAACGCAAACTATTAAGAAATATCTGCTCCTCACATTTTAGATAAATAGTGGAACTGGGTCAACAGGAACTGGTTTTGTTTGTGTTCCTCTGTAATGTAACAGTGCTTGGAAGAGTTAATGCAATCTTATTAAAATTTCTGTTTTAATACCAAGAAACAATTTATTCTCTGGAAGCACCTAGTTCAATATTTCTTAAAAGCCAAAAAGGCAGAATGTGAAAAGGCTTTTCAAAGAGTTTTCTGTCTTTATTAAGGCAACAACAGTGATAGTGACGATCATGATCATTGTCTCTCTCATTTGTATGGGATTTTATAGTTCACAAAACACTTTCATATACATTACCTCATTTTCTAATATAACTAAAACCTTGCATAATATGAAATTAGCTGTTGCTTATGTCAAGGCATTTGCGGGCTATTAGAAACTGTGGGCCAGATGTTATGAACGGTATAAATAGTGTGTCTTGGCAAAGCATAGAAAGGTCCAAACTTTTGTATAGACTGAATTGCAAGACGGTGAGAGGAAAATGTACCATAACGTGCTTTACTGGAATAAAGGGTCCAAGGCAGGGTCAGGGCGAAGAGAGGCATGAAAACCTACTTTGGCTTTAGTACCTTATTCCAGAGACAGAAGGAATCCATTGGAAGTGGGTGCTACATAGGAATCTACCTGAGGCGGATATTGATCCAGAGTCCAAGAGAAGCAGGAAGGAGTACAGAAGCACCTCTACTTATGAGCTTTCCACTTCTGAACTCTCATGAATTTATGAACAGGGATGCTTATAAAATAAAGCACCTCCACTCTGTTGTATCACCATCAGTTTCATTTATGGATTATTTCATTGATTCATAGATTCATTTATTAAGCATTGTTTTCACACATAATTATTGTTGCAGGCACTCTGCTTTGTGTTGGAGACATATAGTGAAAAAGACAGACAAGGTGCCTGCCCTCATACAGCCTGTCTGACATAGATAAACAAGGAAACAAATAGCAAAATAAATATAGATTGTGATGTATCATAAGGGAAAATACAGGGCAATGAAACAGAGAGAAACTTTGAACTTCTCTTTGAAACCATAGATCCCCAGAGTGGCTCTGTTAAAGAAGGCTTAAAAGTTGTGTTATGGAAAATATAACACCCTTTTGACAAACTCTGGGCTTACTTCTTCAAAAGTATCATGGATAGCAAGATCAAATGCTCATGAAACGTGGTTAGGGCGGGGTGCAGTGGCTCATGCCTATAATCCCAGCACTTTGGGAGGCCACGGTAGGAGGACTGAGTGAAGCCAGGATGTTGAGATGAGCCTGGACTACAAAGCGAGGCCCTAGTCTACAAAAAATTAAAAACAAAATTAGCTGAGTATGGTGGTGTCCATCTGCAGTCCTGGCTACGCAGGAGGCTGAGGCCAGAAGATCATGTGAGCACAGGAATTTGAGGCTGCTTTGAGCTGTGATTGTGCCACTGTAGTCC